AATCGACCGATCATTACCTTGTCGTTGACACGCTGCGCTGTAAGAAATGGAGTACCATACAAAGATCTGGTGGCAGAAGCAACCAGAGAATTAGATGGGAAACATTGTCTTTGCTGGACACGAGAGCGAAATTTGCAAACATTGCACGAAGGTTTTTAACACTGAAGTGGAAACCGAGGGATCACTCTTTAAAAGCGGCATACTCGAGGCTTCTGTCGAATGTTGGGGAATCAAGCGGATTGGTCGGACGTCTCGACGTCAGAAAAGAACCTCTTGAAAGACACGAGAGATCCAACTGACAGTCGATGCAAATGGTTGCACTCAAGAAATGGTTGGAAGCAAGGAGCCAGCTACTCGCATGTGATACATCGAAACACGCAACGCAGCAGCAAAAGCAGCGACGAAGGCAAAAGCTGATTCTTCGGAGAAGATCGGTAAGATGTTGGCGTCGAATTTCCAGATGGCAAACAAAACGTACCGGAAGACCTTTCGCCAGCTCCGCGTGAAAAGAAGGACGGTCTAAGAGTCTTGAAGAACAGTTCTGGACACCCTCTTCCCGAAGATAATGACATTATTCGGCGACGGATAGAGTTCTTTGAGGAACTCCACAACCCCAAGCAACCACAGGTTGACTCTTTTGTAGAACAGCAGGGAACGGATATTACCATTTCTGTAAGTGAAGTTACACAAGCTGTGAAATGCTCGAAAAGTGGAAAGGCTGCTGGAATTGATGAAATCCGCTCTGAAATACTCAAAGCATCAGGCGAATAAGGCATGTGCTAATTTTCACGTGTCTGTCAAACTGCGCTGACTGCGGGAAAGACACCAGCAGACTGGAGAAGGGAGTTATTGGAACCGTATTCAAGAAGGGAGGCCACAAAGAATGCTCCAATTATAGGGGCATAAAGTTATTCAGCCTCCCAAGTAAAGTCTACGCAAAGGTGTTAGAAAGGAGGTGAAGCGAAATAGTTGAGTTCAAGATCCAAGAAGAACAATGTGGCTTCCGGCCCGGTCGAAGCAACTCTGACTATATATTTGCCCTGCGCCAGATTGTTGAGAAATCGTGGGAGTGCGCCCATCTGGTGTACATGTGTTCTGTTAACTTAGAGAAAGCCTATGACCGGATCCCGCGTAGCAACCTACGGGTACACCTGCGAACACATAGGATCAGTGGTCAGTTGCTACGAGCCATTCAGTCACTATATTCTAATGGCAGGTGCTGCGTCAGAGTAAATCGCATTAAGTCGAAACCTTCCATCGTTTGCACTGGCTTCAGCCAAGTCTGCGTTCTGTTCCCTCTCCTGTTTGTGTTGTTCATGGATAGGATAGTCAGGATAAACCAAGACGATGAGTGTATCGGTGTAGAAGATGTGGAAGCTAGAAGGTGGCTTAACATCCTTGTTTTATTGGCATCTTCTGAAACTGATCTACAGCGCCCTTTGAGAAGGTTCGCTCTTGAACGCGACCTGGTAGGCATGCGTGTGAACGCATCTAAAATGAACAGACTGCTTTTTCGTTCTCCTGCCCGTTGCTCTCTTCAGATTAACGATGTGATAGTTGAGCAGGTGGAGAAGTTTAGGTACCTCGGGGTCGTGCTCATTGACGATTTAAAATTTGAGGAAGAGATCGACTGACGTATTGGAGTAGCCAGTATCTTTCTGCATGAACTAGCCCGAACCGTTGTGACTAAAACAAAGATGAGTTTGAAGAATAAGCTCTCAGTATTGAAGTCGATTTTCATCCTTATGCCTACCTACGGTCTCTAGTCGTGCACCGCGACTGAGAAATTTCAATCTCGGGAACAAGAAGCTGATATTAGCTTTCTGAGGCGACGTGCTGGTCTTACTCGTGTCGACATGATTTGGAGTACTGAAATCCACGAAGGCCTTGATGTACATTTGCTGCTTCTTCAGATGGAGTAATCTTTGCTGCGATGGTTTGGGCATGTGTTGCGAATGTCTCCAGCAAGGAGAGCGAAGCA